GAGTGAGAGCGAGCAAAAAAAAACTTGCTGTCTATATCTAGAACATTTTTTTGCATTATACAATTACTTTGCTGCAAATTACAGGAGAGAAAAATTTAACTTCACTGTGTTCATCGGGACAAGATCTCCTGAATCCAATTTAAGCATAACTGAACTCTGGCAATATAGCTGCTTTAGTGCAAGGAGTTTAATGTGCTAGAAAGCACGTTTCACATTTCTCATTGCAGGTACATTCTGTTACCTTACAAATACAAGTTGTTGGGAGGGGGAAAAAAAGAAAGGACCATAAACAATTTACAATAAATAAATAATTATAGTTAAAGTTAATATAGAATGATTTCATGCCTTCTTCACTGAAAGATGGCACTTTTTTTTTAAAAAAAGTACTGAATTTAAACCATTTTTATTTACTATTTATAAAGACTGTGAACGCGATGATGTGCAGTAAAATAATGCTGAATCAAGAAATGATGCCTTTTTTTGGTGAAAAGGGTGGACATAACACACATGAAACAAGCAAAGTAAGATGATAGATAGGTAGATAATAGGTCTGTCGGGTGCAGAAACTGAAGTCATTTTAGTGCCTACACATTGCTTCACTTTAAAATCCAAATGAAAAACTATGAGGACAATTGAGACAAGAGCATTTTGTCACTGGAAGAAACATTTCCGTGCTTCACTTAGGCCAAAAGGCTGGAGACGTAATGGGATCGGAAACCAGCAGATAGAAACAGTGATGGATTTAAGTTATTAGCAGAAGCAAAATGATGGATGGTATTCTGCTTTTCTTAATCTACATCATCATCATCTAGATCCACCAAAAGATATTTTTGTACACTAATAAACTTAGTTAATGCCGAGATAGTCGGAGCAGGATAATCTGCAGTGTTGCACTGCATCCATATCGATCAATAAAATCACTTGTACCAAGGAAAGCACTGTTAACTTCTGACAATCCCAGTCATTAATATTATTTAACACAGCACTAAGTCGACTTTCATGAGGAAGAAAGATTTTTAAGTCCTTTAGTGTTGTACTACTTTTGTCTTCATAATAGGTTTGTAAATACTGCAGTAATGGATTCAATTTAGTGATTACTACTGAATTAGTGGACACTCAATCGACAGTGAAATATTTTATAGTCATGTTCCAACTTGTTCGTTTTTTCACAGTAGTTTTAAGCGCAAGTAACAACATGTGGGTTTGAAAGTCCAAGAAAAGCAATTTTTGAAGGTTTTTTTGGACAGCAACTATTGTTAGGATTATTGGTTTAAAAATGCTTTACTTGATGGGAGATAAAATTCAACAAAGTGCCAGGGAATTTTTTCACAAAAAGCTGGAAATTTAAAACGGCTTAAAGTAATGCAATGTATGGGCATTTAGAAACACTATTTTAACTTTCTAAAGGTTAAAAAGATAGATATGAGTGTAGACCTCACAGCCACTTCACAACAGTAGCTATTGATTCTGAGGACATACCATTTTAAAGTAAAATCGGATAAAGATTTGAAGAGGAACAAATAAAAACATATGAAGGGGGAGCAACATATTGGGGTTAGAGTAATTAGCTCCAGTGGAGGAGCCAGCAGCACCATTTTAGGCTTATTGCGCAGAGATTGTGTTAATGCGCAATCGTGCTTATATTACCCCCAAAAATCTGCCTGTACGCAAAAAGTGGCACACTGTGAGTACTGTGTACTGACTTGTCAACAACAACAACTTGCATTTATATAGTGCCCTTCGTGGTGTATGGCGTCTGGTTGGAGTTCTTTGTTTTCTCGTGGCTCTGATTGTCATCAGATGACCATGCATAACACGGACCAGTCAATTGGCATATTTTGGTCCAACCCCCAAGATGTGTCAATCCGATCTGAGAGACTGGACCGAAATGAAACATGCCAGTTGATTGTCGATGTTAAGTATGAGGATTTAGGATGTACTCATTTTTTTGGATAGCCATGTGTACACAGCACACGTGTTTAAAAAACATAACGCAATCTCTGATGTGTCAAACAGCCTCTGTCTATGCTAAAATCTCTATGATACCATAACAGTTGTGTGAAAGCCTCAATAACCTAGTGTTAACCTGAAGTAATCCATCCAGAACTGTGCAATATGTATCCGCTCCTGCACTAGGCAAAATCACCATTCCATCCTCACTCAGCTCCACTGATTCCCTATCCCCCAGCAGAACTAATTCGAGATCCTTGCCATCAATTTCAAACCTCTCGATGGCCTCATCTCTCCCTACCTCTGCAACCTCCTATAAGCTTACAACTCTGGACACTCTCTCCGTTCAGCAAACACCGGCCTGCTTCACGTCTCCTACCAATCTGTCCCATTATCGGGGGGGGGGGGGTGAGCTCTCAAGAGATTTTGCCCCGCTCAAATTATTCATCAATGCTTATCTGCATTGAGTGCAGTGCCTCCATCTTCCCTCCTTGCCTTAAGACGCATCTTTGATAACATTTGTAGCCCCCTTTCCCTCACCCCCAGCTCCCTCAGCTCCTTCCACCAATTCAACCAGTCAGCTGCGTGATTCACTTTGAGAAATTCTCCCAACATAAAAGTAAATGTAAATTGTTGTCCATTTGCCCAGAACAGGCACTAGTCGAAGTTCCATTGGTGAACCACTGCTTGTCCTCCTCCATCAACAACTTTATCAGTTAGGATACTTGTCACACTGTCTCTTGTGCAATGGCCTGGTGTCTTTACTATAGTGATGACACTAGAACTGTACATGGTACCAACTTTAATGGCAAAGATTTTCACTAGAAAATTCCCATCTTTTTGGTGAAAATCAAAATTTGATAAAAAAAATTCTCCTAAATTTGATTTGCAAAAAAAAAATCAATTTATTTTCAGTGCAAATAATAATCCTTGCATTTGATACAGTGCCTTATCACGACTTTGAGGCATCTCAAAGTGCTTCCCAGAATATACTGTAAAGTGAATTGATTGTATATTTTGTGGGCAAAATGCAGCAGCCAATTGCACACAGCAGCGCGCCACAAACAGGCATGGATTGAAGTGACAAATTTTTTTTATATAAAGGAATTTTACCCCCAGAAAGCGATCCACAAATCGACTAACAATCAGGCTCCTAACAGATGGTCCACACACATCAGTTTCTGGAAATGTGCACACTGATTTTGAATCCAGGATTGCATGACAGATTGCTGGGGAAACAATTTTAGTGCCTATAGAAATCTCACCCATATGTGGATATCTTTGTGCACAAATGGTTGTTTTGAAGGTATAAGAAGGTAAGTCTGTAATACTTACTTTGGAGTTATAGAGAAAGAGGCAGAACATTTGAGTTATAATAATACAATAAGTAATAATCCTTGCATTTGATATAGCACTTTTCATGTCTTCTAGACATTTCAAAGCGCTTCACAGAATGTACTGTAAATTGACTGTAATTTTGTGGGCAAAACTCAGCAGTCAATTGCACACAGCAGTGTTCCACAAACAGTGCATGGATTGAAGTGACCAATTTTATTATTGTTTTTTGTTCTTGAGGGATTATTATCAGGTGTGTGGACTAAGGAAACTTGCCTGAGGTTTCACCCTGCCGGGAATTGAACCCAGGTCTCTCGCTTGCGAGGTAAGTGCTCCAACCACTGAGCTACAGGACTCCACGTTAGAGAGAGAATGAAAAATGGACTGAGAGAAATATGCAGAGAAAGATAAGGTGTGCTACCACGGTGACAGTATAACTCCTGAGTTAGTACTTTTTCAGTTAACATTGCAGCCAATTTGTATTTTGGTAATGTCCAATTATCCACACTGTTTGGATTGGGTACTGACCCATACCTTTCTGACTTAGTGGCAAAATATATTTCGCCCACAAAGTATACAGTTAATTCACATTACAGTATATTCTGTGAAGCGCTTTGAAACGTCTCGAAGACATGATGAGGCGCTATATCAAGTGCAATTATTATTAGTAGTAGTATTATTAAGTGTGCCACCAACTGAGCCAGCCTTGTTTATTTTTGATTGAGTTCCTGTAGCTCAGTGGTTAGAGCACTCGCTTTGCAAGCGAGAGACCTGAGTTCAGTTCCAGGCAGGGCGAAACCTTGGGCAAGTTTCCTTACTCCACACACCTAATAATAATCCCTCCAAAACCAAAAACAATAATAAATTGGTCATTTTCAATCTACGACTGTTGTGGGACATTGCTGTGCGCAATTGGCTGCCACGTTCTCCCACAAAAAATACAGTCAATTCACTTTACAGTGTGTTCTGTGAAGCGCTTTGGGACGTCCTCCTGACGTGAAAAGCGCTATATCAAATGCAAGGATTATTATTATTATTATCAATTTTAATTTACACCTTTATATTACATTTTCAATGATACAATGATCATAAACCAGAAGAACACAAGAGTCTTACATAATTCTCACATTGTGTAGGAAGTCCTGAATCACCAATAGTGTTGAATCTTCTACAGAAACTATTGAATCTTCTACAGAAACTAAAGATATTGTGTGACATTAATGGGGGTGAGTGGAGGGGGGCGGTAGGTGGGGTGAAGAGGAGGTATACGTAGGCACAGAGCAATGGAAAGATCAACCTTTGGCAGACAAGTTCAGCATAACCATTCCAACTACAATGTGTGTGGAGGATGCAGGCTGCTATGACAGTGACAGAAATGGGCCATTATCTTTGTGTAGTCTGGATGTCAGAATTCTTGGCATCAACACACTATGGTGTGAAGTGCCCCTTTGATCTGCTAAATCAATATGAAATTGCAGAATGCATTGTGTGTGACAGCATGACAGAAGAAAGCTGAAACATGTATTTGGCAAGCCACACTCCATGATATATTTAACGGGTTAAAACACCTTTGAGGGCAGGGCAGTCAGTAGGCTCATTTACAGACAATAGATAGAAGGGAAACCCCAACACAGAATACATGTTAAACAACTCGGCTACATAATCTCCATCTATCAGACAGGGATTTTGTACATTTTGAAAAGAGTGAACCATACCTGGAGATAGGCTTCCAGACCCTGCCGTCGCTGCTCCAACACTTTAGGTACCCAGTTTCTCACGTGCTTTGAGGGCATTTCAGGCGTTTTAATGCTTTTCTTCAGCTTTCCAGCAAAACAAAAATGGTTAAACATCAAATATTACAAAAGAAATCAACTATATCACTTCAATCAATGTGAGATGCTGTCTTTCTACCCAAATCATCAATATGCCAACACCATTTTGTAAATTCTTACTTTTTATTTCCCCTTTTATATAAGTACAGCTCTACGAGATTTACATATTTTTTGAGTTGAGAGGTAATATAAGTGACACGATGCAAATCACGTTACATAGCATTCCCAGGCATGAACAATGAGGATCTTACATATTTTCCTATATTTGGTTGGTACGATAATAATAAAAATGATTATAATAATCATTATTCTTGCCTTTAATGCAACAATTTTCACATTGGGAGGACATCTCAAATGATTTCAGAGATTTACTGCAAAGTATAATGACTGTGTATTTTATAGGCAAAAGCAGCAGACAATTTGCATACAGCAATGTCCATGAAGTGAATGACCCATTTTATCTGTAAGAAACTCCCTTTTTCATTTACTGATAGGCAATGATCTTGCCTCGGCAGTGGACACAGTCTGGGGGTTTAGGAGCATGTGCTCCCTGTGGGCATGTGATTCGATAGAGTGATTGGATACTCCTTATACATTGCTGGTCTCAGATCTCTCTATAGGTAGCCCTGGTAATGACACCTCAGACACCCAAACATAAACAAGACAAGACACAGAGGTCTGCAAGTTCTACCTCTAGATGACTACCTGTTGCATAATGAGGGCGGACATGTTCAACATTGCAAAAAGCACATCTCCCCCTTCCCACTACCAGCAACAACATGTTTTAATGGGGCACAAAGCTACTGAAGCCATTACCTGTGCAGTGCACATGGATGCAGCGTGTAAGAAACACAGCTGATGGCATTCCCTGAAAGACGAACAGAGCTGTCGTCATTTGCTGCATGAAGGAAACGTGGCTTTTGCCATTGTCTCAGTGCCTCAGAAAGTCAGCAACTGCGCGTGTGAGTTCAATAAGTTATAACCAAACGCCCACAATAACGAGGCACTCCAACAGGGTCGTCTGTACCTAGAAACGCATAATAATGAAACCTGGGGTGCGAGTAGGGGGATGGGGGAAGTGTCAGACTTTGTTCCATTCAACAATGATAAGCCTCACTATGATGAATGGGTAGAAAAATATAAGATTTAATGGAGGGAACAGAAACGTATCAGTCATCTAGCATTAAATACAAGGCAACTCTGAATACACACCAACTGACAACAGTACAGCGAGATTTTCACTATCCATTCACCGGTGGGGTCTCTATCCTCACTGGGAAGATGACAGATCTGACAGCCTTAACAAGAGACTAAAATAACCGATTTTCGACAATACACTGCATGCAGTTTATTGTACAAGTGGTTAGAATCTGCCATGATTAATTGGGTCTGCAGCCAACTAAAGTGTTACAAATGTATACACCCAGCACCAGTTCAGAAAATACCATTTGCGAACAATATTTTGTTGGGAGGAATTCTTTCGTCAACAGGAGTCAAGGAGCCATCATCCCAGCTGCCATCTTCCATGACAGCACTGCCAGGTGAGTAATGAACTCTTCAGACGAATGGAGACAAATTCAAGACAATTCAAGTTTGCAGCAGGGCCTTGCTGCTTACAAGATAAATACTCTAAGGGTGCCACTTCAACCGATGATTAACAATCCCGCTTGCTCTGTGGCCCTATAGCACAACTCTAGTGGGCAGGAGACGAGAGAAAAAAATTACCTTTTTGTGGAGTGCATGAAATTCGCTGTACCTCTTCTCTACAAAGTGCTTCCTTCCACTCATTAGAACCTCAATTTTAAATACCTGCAAAGGCAAAAGATAAGACTCTGTTTATATCAGACTGACGACCATAACACAACTACTACTTTCAGTGCCATGATCCAGACATGGATTTTGCAAAAAAAACACAAAGAGGCTCGTGAGACAGCTAAACAGCATTGATTTATGACTGCTACAAGCTCTGCTGATCAGTTTGTTCAGAAAACAAATTTAACCGCAATTAGATTCTGGCTTGTTTATTTTTTGAACCCTTCCCATTGCCTGCACATTGCTGAGACATTGATGAGGTTAGCATTAACTTTATTACAGAGGTTTTTGGAGTCAAACATTTCCACAAAGCCTGTAGCTAAATAGGCCAGTTTCTGATGCTTGAAGCACAATCTACAATGAGCAACGCAACATTAAAAGGCATCTTGTGGAAAATTTGCAGCCAAATTAATATCCTTGTAACCTGCACATTAAAACTAAAATTACAGCTGTACATTTTCAGTCTGCTAGAACAAGGATAAAATATGGCAAAAGTTCACTTTCATTACAAGATAAATTTGACAGGTTCTATTGCTTTCACTGGCCTGTGCGAGGTTGAAGGGCCAGGATAGCAAGTCTCTTGGTATACTAATTAATACCCAGAACAGTGCCTGCACCTTGAAACGTAGGTCGCTGATTTGGTCTGGAAAATGGCTGATAAAGAACATAGGGGAAAACGGTCAATATTGCATAGGAACTCAGTATGCAACATACACAGCCAGCAATGATTGTTGAATGAACTTCTTAACAGTAAAGTACTGTAGTGCAATGACCCCAGGAGAAATTCACTCACTGTATAGTTAAAAAAATACAGCATTCACTACTTGAAAATTACAGCAATACATTGGTAACTGTACAATCCCGTGTTACCAACCCTCACCAAGAAAGGTTGTCTGCAATCTAGTCAAATGTTTAGAGGCGGAGAAAGTTGTGTAGAACAAAGCTAGAATTGTTGATTAAGCAATGCTTTTTTCCAAGATCCATATAGAACAGAACAGGAAGGGAAACAATTTCAAACAAGCTGTCTTTTTTTGCTACTGCTATGCTTTGTGTCAAATACAGAAAATATAAATGTAGAAATAATTGAATAACCTCCTATTTTTCCCCCAAGTAATTTTTCAATGAAGTTTATAGCAAGACGAAAGAAGTAGAACACCTGTGAATCAGCCTGGCTCTCGCCTCCGAGTCGGGAGGTTGTGGGTTCAAGCCCTACATGGGGATTTGGAATCGCATCGTCTAAGATGACACTCCAATGCAGTGCTGGGGGTGTGCAGCATTGTCAGAGGTGCCGTCCTTTGAGACGTTAAACCGAGGTCCCGTCTGCCTGTTCAGGTGGACGTTAAAGATCCCAAGGCACTATTCGAAAAGAAAAGGGAGTTTCTCTCAGTGTCCTGGCCAACAATCCCCTAAATAAAATTGCTCATCCACTCCATGGCTGTTTGTGGGACATTGCCCGGTCCAATAGAAAAGTACGGGAACATTCGCTTAAAATTGCGGGGAGATTTACAATTTTTTTGGAAAATTGCAGGGGCATTTTACTGCCAACCTCCACTTTTTCACTTTATTGATAAAAACTAAACACATATTAGATTGTTGCAAAACAAAATAACTTTCTTTAACATAACCTGAATGGCCCTTTTTTTTGTGGGGTGAAGGGGGTGGGGGGGGGGGGAAACACCAGGGAGACTACAGGAGCTCACCACCTCCTGCCTCTCGGGGCTGGCACTGCACACAGACCCAAAGACTCAGAGAGAGAGAGAGAGAGAGACACATACACATATACAGAGACACACACACTCACAAACCACATAGACACACATTCTCAGAGAGAGAGAGACACACACAGAGATATACACACACACACACATATATATATATATATATATATAAAAAGAAGACACACAGAGACACTCAGAAACACACATACATATAGAAGACACACAGACACACTCACAAGCATATATATAGAGGAGAAGCAGACACACTCACACAGACACTCACAAGCAGACTCACATACAGAGGAGACAGACACACTCACAGACACATAGAGAGACACTCACACAAACACATGGAGAGAGGGACACACAGACACTCACATAGAGACACTCATAAACACATAGAGAGAGAGAGAGAGAGAGACACACACACACACCACACACAGAGACACACACACACCACACACACACACACACACCACACACAGACACACACACACACCACACACAGACACACACACACCACACACAGATACACACACCATACACAGACACACACACACCCCACACACAAAGACACACACACACCACACACAAAGACACACACACCACACACAGACACACACACACACCACACAGAGACATACACACCACACAAAGACACACACACACACCACACACAGATACACACACTACACAAAGACACACACACACACCACACAGATACACACACCACACACATAGACACACACGTACACACCACACACAGATACACACACACACACACGCACACACCACACACAGAGACACACACGCACACACCACACACAGAGACACACACACAGACACACACAGACACACACACCGACACACACACACACACCACACACAGACACACCACACACAGAGACACACACACACCACACACAAACACACACAGACACACACACACACAGACACACACACACACAGACACACACACACACAGACAGAGACACACGCACACAGACAGAGACACACACTCACATGCAGACACACACACACTCACACGCAGACAGAGAGACACACACACACACACACACACTCACACGCAGACAGAGAGACACACACACACACTCACACGCAGACAGAGAGACACACACACACACTCACACGCAGACAGAGAGACACACACACACTCACACGCAGACAGAGAGACACACACACACACACACTCACACGCAGACAGAGAGACACACACACACACTCACACGCAGACAGAGAGACACACACACACACACACACTCACACGCAGACAGAGAGACACACACACACACACACACACTCACACGCAGACAGAGAGACACACACACACACTCACACGCAGACAGAGAGACACACACACACACTCACACGCAGACAGAGAGACACACTCACACGCAGACAGAGAGACACACACACACGCAGACAGAGAGACACACACACTCACACGCAGACAGAGAGACACACACACTCACACGCAGACAGAGAGACACACACACTCACACGCAGACAGAGAGACACACACACTCACACGCAGACAGAGAGACACACACACACTCACACGCAGACAGAGAGACACACTCACACGCAGACAGAGAGACACACACACACACACACTCACACGCAGACAGAGAGACACACACACACACTCACACGCAGACAGAGAGACACACACACACACTCACACGCAGACAGAGAGACACACACACACACTCACACGCAGACAGAGAGACACACACACACACTCACACGGACAGAGAGACACACACACACTCACACGGACAGAGACACACACACTCACACGCAGACAGAGAGACACACACACACTCACACGCAGACAGAGAGACACACACACACTCACACGCAGACAGAGAGACACACACACTCACACGCAGACAGAGAGACACACACACCCACAGACAGAGACACACCCACAGACAGAGACACACCCACAGACAGACACACACCCACAGACAGATAGAGACACACACACACACTCGGAGAGACACACACCCACAGACAGACACGCACACCCACAGACAGACACACACCCACAGACAGACACACACCCACAGACAGACACACACCCACAGACAGACACACACCCACACACACCACACAAACACACACACTCAGGCCGAGGCACACAGAGACTCACCACACACACAGAGACACACCACACACACAGAGACGCACACTCACAGAGACACACACCACACAGACAGAGACACACACAAACAGGCAGAGACACAGAGACACACACCACACACACACACACCACACATACATACACACACACATACACCACACACACAGACACACACACATACAATGACAAACACACCCATACAGACACAGACACACCACACACTGAGACACACACCACACACAGACACACACCACACACAGACACACACCACACACATACACACACAGACACACACACCACACACACAGTTACACACACAGACACACACACATAAAGACAAACACACCCATACAGAGACACACACACCACACACGCAGACACACACACACCACATAGCGACACACATACAGACACACACAGCGACACACAGACAGAGACAGACAGAGACACAGACAGAGACATAGAGAGACACTCACAAACACATAGAGACACACACACACACACACACAATCACACAAACACACAGACAACAGCCGGCCTCCGAGTGAAGCCCATTTGCCACTTGTGCTGCACACGTGCGTCTGGAGCCACCTCACCCACAGTGACGTCAGGTAAACAGCCGGGAGGCCGCGGGCCACAAGCTACATTTACGGTGGGTTTGTAGCGGAGGGGGTGTTTATAGCGGATTCCACGAAAAAAATCTGGCCGCACTTTTTTACTTGACCAGGACATTGCTCTGTACAAACTGGCTGCCATGTTTCACCCACAAAATACAATCAATCCACGTATAATAAATCCTGTGAAGCACTTTGAGACGCCTTCATGACATGATAAGGCACTATATCAAATGCAAAGATTATCATTATTATTACTGCTGCATTTGGGGTCTGTGAACCCACAGAAGAATGGCGATAGACAGGATTTTTTTCAGCATTCTCTCAATGCCAAATATGATGGTACCCGGCTAATTTGAATGACCTGTTCAAAGCTAACAACAAGTTAGTTGGGATTGTCTTTACCAATTGTGGTAACTGGTAAGCAGTACAAGCTAACAGTTCCTTCAGGAGGTAAATTCACTCTCAGTGTGACATAAATATAAGACAAGCAGAGCC